TAATTATTCAAGAACATTGTTTACTTTTCACGTATTTTTTTATTTTCCAGTTTTCTGGTGACTGATTTTTAGGCTCATACCAATGTGATTGGAAAAGATAATCAATATGATTTTTAAACTTCTTAACTCTTGTTTTGTGGCCTTATATGACTTATACTGGAGTACGTTGCACATGCAACTGTTGTTGAGAATGTTCTATGTATGTCTGTTAAGTATATTTAGTGTAAAATGTAGTTAAAGTTCTGTGTTTTCATATTCATTTTCTGTCTAAATCCATTGTTGAAAATGGAGTATTGTAGTCCCCTCCTCTTATTGTACCACAGTCTCTTTCTCTCTTTGGACCTGTTAATGTTTGCTGTATATAGTTATGTGCTCTAATATGAAGTGCATATCCCTGTATAATTATTACATCTTTTTTATAAATTGACTCATTCATCATTACATAATGACTTTGTCTCTTTCACAACTTTTATCGTAATGTTGAATTTTCTGTTGTGAGAACATAGTTTTTATTTCTCGGGGTGGTGAGACCCTGCCTCTTAGCTAATCTGTGAGCACGTTCTCCTCATTTCCCAGCAAGTTACAGGAAACTTGTGTTATATCAACTCAGCTGGGAGGAGAAGCCTTTCAGTCACCCATGTTCTCTGACTACATTGCCATCCCCTGAATATGCAGGGTCCCACTAGATCTTTGCCTACTTCTCCTGCACCTGTGTGAAGAGATATGTTGTAGTAGCCTGTATGATTCCTTCATTTTCTAGAGCTTTTCTGCAATACTTCATGTCTATTGGGGCACTTAAAAGTCTTTACTACCCTTGCTCTCCACTGGGGTAAAACAAAACAAAACAAAACAAAACAAAACAATTCTCTGGTTGTCCAGAGCCTTGTCAGCCACCTGTCCCAAGTTACCCCTAGGCGGTAAGGCTGACCCTTCATGCTTTCAGTCCCTGTCCTACTTTGTGCCTGCTCAGGGCTCATTGCCCCTCTCTCTGGGGTCTGCACCAAGGGCTTTCCTCTAACTTTGCCCGCTCCAAGCCTAAAGCATGTATTTCTGTATTAGGAGACGTGAAACCTCTTGTTTTTACCCCAAATTCTTCTGCATGGCTAAGTGCACAAACTTTGTAATCCCAAAGCTAGGATAAATCCTTCTGCTTATTTGCCTTCTGCTCTTCTGTTTGATTCCCAAGACAATGGGCCAAACCAATCTGTTAGAAATGGCAAAAAGGAGAGAAGGTAATAAAAGAAGTGTACAGAAGAAATATAAGCTAATATGAAACATCCAACAAAATGTGAACTTCCGTGTCGTAGGTGAATTAGATATGTGTTCTTGCTTCTGTAATGTGTGTGTAAGATAAATACCTATTATCTGTATATATTTAGCAGCACAGAGATATGCACATATTTAGTAATTGCCAACAAACTTGAAAATTTGTCACTTGAAATCATTTTTCTAGATTCACTTGCAGTAAATCAGAATTTGTATTATTAAAAAACTTTATTTTGCTTACATGTAAGTATTAAATGATTGTTATTGTGAAGATATGGACATCTATTTTGAAGAAAATAAGAGACATTATGGTAACCATTGTTGATTTTCCTATTGTTTGCTTTTGAAGGCCTGTAATGCTTTCATTCTTTTGTTTTGGTTGGTTTTATACTATTTTGTTTTATATGAACTTATTGTGTGTTGAAGATATGGACAAGTATTTCGAAGATAACAAGAGACATTATGGTAGTCAGTGTTGATTTCCTGTTGTCTAGTTTTGAAGTTCTGTGTTACTTGCATTGCTCTGTTCTGATCTGTTTTGTTCAGTGTTGTTTTGTTCTATTTTATTCTCTTTAAAATAAAAAGATAAATGTTACCTCAGAAAGAGTTACCTCAGAGTACTCTACTTAATCCACTAGTATTGCCGCACTGTTAGTATTTCTGGATTTGTTCCTTTGGAATTGTGCTCATTTATATAACAGAAGGTAAAAATGTCAGTAGTAAATTCTTTTATCATTAAATTGAGCTTCAGTCCACCTGCTGCCACCACCCTGATAAAGTTATGGCTCAGCTTGATCCATTTATCTTCAAAACCATTCTTTTTTTTTTTTATCAGTCGTGTTTGTAGTAGACATGTTTACATGTTACAGTTACGTGTTTGTAGTAGACATGCTCACATTCCTTGTGGGGTCTGGTACATGTCACCAGCTCATCTTATTTCCTTGTTCTCGTCTTTTTTTTCTTTCCTCCTTATGCTGCTATCCATTTCTTCATCCCTCTTTTTTTGTACATGTTTACAGTGCATAATGTTTCCATTTCTTGTGTGGAGCCGGGACAGATATGTAACACATCTTAATCCCTTGTTTCATCCCTTTGCCCTCTTCCCACCATGTCTCTTGATCCTCTTCTAACCATGAGAAAGATCTCCCTATTTCCTATCATCTATTTTATTTTGTTCTTTGTACTTTGGGTTCCTCATGTAAGAGAAATAATGCAATATTTAAGCTTATGTGTCTAATTTCTTTCACTTAACAATATGATCTCAAGGTGCATCCATTTTCCTAGAAATTACTCCAGTTTTATCTTTCTTTATGGCAGAATAGTACTCCATTGTGTATAAAAACCACATTTTTATAATTCGTTCATCTGTTGATACACATACAGGCTGCTTCCAAATTTTTTGAACTATGCAGCTATAAACATGGGTATACATGCATTACTGTAATATGACATCTTTAACTTGTTCATAATGATATCAAAAGGGGAATAGCTGGCTCAAATGGAATTTTTACTTTCAGTTTTTTGAGGAACCTCAATATGGATTTCCATAGTGGTCTTAAAAGTTGACATGAGCCTGATTTTTATAGAAAATAGACAAAAATTTTCTTCTCATTCATTTAAATGAAACTCTGCCAAACTTAGAAATTAGTTTATACAGAAAAGATGAAAAATTGTTTTGAAAAACAGCATCACTGAATAAGTGTACAATTGCTAAAGTGATTACTCTGAGGGAAACTACTTTCATTTGAATGAATACACGTTGCTAGAATTCTTTAAAAAGGGGGTCACAATTTGGGACAATTTTGCCATCCAGGAATTACGCAAGTTTGGGAAACAATTTTGCTTTCTCGATGGGTGAGGATGAATTCCTGACATTTAATAAACAGAATCAGGGTTGTTTCTAGACATCGTGCACGAATAAGAATCACCTGGCCCTAAATGTCAGGACTGTGAGGATAGAGAAATCTTGTTTTAAACAAATTATTACCTCATTTTACTCACACTTTAAAGTTTCTCATCTTTCTGAGTCATTGAGAAAGAATGAATCAAACACCAAAATTTTTGGTTAGTCCTCAAGGCCTCTTTGAGACTTTTTTCTGCTTAAATGGCTAGAGTGGTGTGCGAGGTTAACCCAGGTCAAGGTGGAATCAGATAGAGCATAGATACTAGAAAGCCTACAGTTTCATATGGAGGTCGTAATTTGCCTACCAATCTTAGAATTCTTAGGTTGAAGATTTTTTCTTCCCCAAAAGTAGGAGCTAAGATCCCATCTGACTTCTGATTTTCTAAAGTCAGAACCCCTAGACTGTAGGACCTTTACCCAGGAGCAGGGAAGGTTCTTCCTGTCCCCCAGCACCAGCCCCTGCCTTGTCCTGGCTCTGCTGGCCTCCTGGTGTCTTCTCAGGAGCCACCCTGGGTTACTGTCTCCTTTTGTTCTCCACAGAGTTCTTGCTGTCTTTCTCAGCAACACTTTCTGCACTTCTTTTTGACATTCATATGGTTGTTAACACTCTCTTCTCTCTTATAAACTTTGAGTCACAGTTGGAAAGGCTCTCCCCACGGCAGAGTTATAAAAGTGTGCTAGTGTGTTGCGATCTAATAGTTGTATTTTTTAAATTTAAATTCTTGATCTATGTGGAATTTGTCTTGCTTATGATATAATGTTTGGATTCAGCCCCCCAGATGTCTGTAAAGCTGTGCTGCACTGTTGATTAACTACCAGTGACTCAGTGCTCAATGGATTGAGATGTCATCATTGTCATGTCCCATTGTCTTGTTTATTTACTTACATAAATAAACTGGCTTTACTTTACAATGCTAAAGAAAAGTCTCAATTTTTCCTGTGGCAAACCTAGATTTTCAAAGTATGGTAAAATGTGCATAATGTAAAATTTATCCACTTTTAAGCCATTTGAATGTAAAATCTAATGACATTAAGAACATTTAGATTGTAGTCTTTATCACAGACATCTCTACAACTTTTTTATCTTCCCATCATATGGATTTGAATCAAATACACTATTAATTTACTTTACCCATCCATTTGTATGATGTGCCCTGATTGCAGAGATGTTAAAGTGTGGGAAAGCATACATGTTAAGTAACTAAAATGCCTTTCCAGATTCCCAAATGTATTGTTATATTTCTGGTTATTCTCTTTGCTTTTTAACATCTTTGAATATAAAATAGTCTCTCCTCACTGGTCATTTTTTAGAGACGACTTCTTTTTCCAGTTATTCTTTTCAACCTGACCAGATAAACTAAAGCAGCTTATATACTTGGCTCTTGTGGTTGTTGTGGTTTTTCTTCCTTTGTACCGCTTGCACATTCCTGGGCCTAAGGATGAGCTCTGGGCCTAGAGGCAGTGACATTCTTTGCCATTTGTGTATCTTGTAAGACTTTCTTTTCTTGGTTTTTTTCCTTCAGCATTGCCTGGTACATGGAATCCATTCCTGACCTGTTTTCTCCATAACAGGGAGATACTCCCAAAACAGTTCTTAGAATCATTTAATGCCTCTGTATCTTGTATATAGAATGTTGTCATTTTCAGCGCAGTTAGCAGTATACCTAAGAAGAGGGAGAATCTGAAATATTTGCAATGGCATCTCTTTTTAATATGGTCCACTAATGTGTTTACATTTAGTGGAAGTTTCTTGCTCTGCCAGTTTTCCTATTAAATTTTTAGCATTTTAAATATTGTATTACTAAAAGCTTATCTTTATTTGTATTTATAGATCATAAGCTGCATGCTATTTTGTTTTACTGAAGACTCCATTAGAAGAACCAATAAATCTTGTGAAAATGGTCTTTAGTGATCTTACGTCAAGGACTGTGCGTTTTTATGATAATTGGATAAAAGATGCTGGTGAGTAACTAAATTTCTTGATCAAGGTTCATCTTTTCTCTTTATGTCATACTCTGGCATGAATATTTCATTGAAACAGAATGAGAAACTTTGCAATTTCACACTCCCTTATTAGTAGATAACAATGGTTTCAGTACACATGTGTACATGGCTACAAAGACATGTATTATAATGTTTATATAGTGAAAATAGCCTAAATATGCAGTAGAGAAAACTGGTTAATAAGTAATGGAACATTCCAATTTAGTGACCATTAAAAATGATTTTGCAGTAACAGTGCTCTTCAGTTTGATTTTGTCCTAAGGGAAATTAGGGTTACTGCCAACCACAATTTTGTCCATGGTGATTCTTGACTGGGATAGCCACAGCCCTCAGGAATATCAGAAAACACAGAGAGTGTATTCTAGAACACTCTTGAGTGATTCTAAGATGCCTGCCTTCTTGCCTTACCCATTAAAAATATCATTATTTTAGAATAACATTTAATGCTATAACAAAACTTTTTAAAGATGTTGAGATAAAATAAGTTATAAAGCATCATATGTATTTGTTCTATGGAAGCTAGCAGTTATTTGTGAATGGTAAAATTAGCCTTGTTTCTTTGTTTGTTCGTGAGTGTGTGCGTGTTACTTGATTTGCTTTGTTTGGATTTTTAGTTTATTGTTGTTTTAATTGAATGCAGGGTCTTGTGCATGCCAAGCACATGTTCTGTCACTGAGCTGTACTCTCAGTAATTTTATTTGCTTATCTATGACAGTCTATATTTTCTTAAGCTGCAGCTAGTGTATGTTGTTTCTGTAACTCTTAAAAAGGTTTTAAACATAGAACACAGGTAAAAAGTATTTTTTAAATAGAAGGAATCCTACTGTATGTAGAGCTTACCTGGACTGTTAGATATCATTGACTATCTTAATATTTTACTTTATAATAAAGAAATTTAGACTCAGGAATGTGACTTTCATGATTCCTGGATGGAAGAAAAGATGAGAACCTGTTTTATTATGATTTTTTCCTGATATTTAACATAGATTTTCAGGTTATACATACTCACCACCATCTTCACCATTTTAGATTGTTTCTTACCCATTAGCTGTAATCTCATGTCCACCAGATTCAGGAGGAAAAAAAAAAAAGCCACTTCTTGTTATCTGTTAAATTATATTCCAGTTTACAAAAATGATTTCTTCAAAAATACCCTGTTCAAGGTTGACATCCTTCTCAGGAGACTGCTAAAGATGAAGTGTATTTCACTAAGCTATGTCCCAATAGTTTTGCCCTGGAGAATTTCTAATGACCTTTTTTAGCATCCAATAAATAAGCTTTACTCTGGTAGGGAGAGACAGCGACTTTTTACATATTGCCTTATTTTTTCCCTGTGTTTTTCCAGTTATATAATATAGAGACTATATAGATTTCTTTAGAGGTCATCTTTCTCTAAAGTTTTATAGGAGTCTTCATAAATTCAGTATTTAAATGCTCATATATTAATTGCTTAATTTAAATACTGATATTTAAAATCTGCTTCTCAGAGTAAAAATATATTTTGCTCACTCAATTCACTGGAGAGCCAGATAGACTTAGTTAATGGTGATTGTTATCATTGTCCCAGAAGTAGACAGTGTTATAATGTGTACTATTTCAGAATTCCACTTCCACTTTTAACCACAAATCAACTTTTTACTTTTCATTAGGAAACCTTTGATTGAAAAGCTGAATAATCCTAGATGAGAGATAAGAAAGACAAGGACTGTGAGATGGTTAAGATCAAGCATAAAGTCCTGGGTAGCTTGGCAAACAGGGCGGTGAAGATTTGCCCAAAGACAGGCAAGGAGGAAAAAGGGAGCACCACGTGTCTGAGGTTATGCTAACTGTAACCTGGCGAGAGGACAGAGGTGTGGTGATGTGGAAGGAGAAGAGACGTTTTCCTATAGTATTGTAGACGAACTAGGGGATCTTGAGCAAATTATGTGTAGCTTGTGTGTCTCAGTTTCTTAGGCAGTAAAACAAAATGAGAACAGCTCCTACCAGCTACTAGATACCATGCAGAAAGTGCTGTGTTAATCTGGAAAGTGTATGCCAGCATAAATGGTTGTGATTATTGTCACAGATGATCGAGGATTTCATCTTTAAATATTTTTAATGTAACATATCACTTAAAACCTTGATTTCTTTACATTTTTTAAAATTTCATGATATAACAGGCCTAAGAAGTTTTATGTTGAGATTTACAACTTTATTCATAACAAGAGAGGTTTTTTCCTTTTATGTAGGGTGGTATTGATCTCTGGGAATCATGTTTAATCTTTTCTGGACCTCTGGGTCCAGTTTTGCTTTGCTTCTCTTGGGAAGGTCTAAATCCATGATCAGAAGCTGAGGATTTCAATTTTATTCCTGGTTTTGGTGCTAATCTTGCACTGCTTTGAGAGAAGCTATTCACTGATTTTCTGATTACTGGATAAGTAGGGGTCATGCACAGTTTATCTCATGTGGAAAAATCCATGACTATAAACATGTAAAAAAGGACTTAATTAATACTTAAGATAAAGAGGATTAATAATGATTCATAGATACAAAGTGCCAGATTTTGAAGTAATGCTATAATAGCATTTTGGACTATGGAGAAGTTAAAAACATTTTAATGATTAAAAACAATTCTCTCTTTTGTCTTTTCTGTCTCTCTCTCTCTCTGTCTCTCTCTGTCTCTCTGTCTCTGTGTCTGTCTGTCTCTCTCTCTCTCTCTCTCTCTCTCTCTATATATATATATATATATATATATATATATATAGTGGTATAATATATATATAGTGTTATTTATAAGTACTCCCAAAGATGATGGTAAACTGTATAAACTTCAAACATGTACAAAAAATACATTAACACTAATCAGTTACAAAGAAAGATAAACCCGAAGCTTTTATAGGTAAATGGATACAACTAGAGACCATACTAATAAGTGAAATAAATCAGACTTGCACATGTAAACATCATATTGTCTTCCTTGTATTAGAAACTGAAAGAATAAATAAGATCACAATAGATGTGGTGAAGGAGAAAAAAACCGCTCAAAAGAAAAAATATCTTCAATGAGGGGAAGGAGAAAACAAGGAAGGGAAAAAATATGTATATACACACACACAAGATAGCTAAGATAATTGTACTACTCATTCTATTACTTCATTGAAAGGAGCAGTGCTTATATTGCTCGATCAGTTTTGCATGCCTACATCTAATAATGTGAATAACTATTTTCAAGACAACAATATGCAACATAATAATCATTGTTAATTTCCTAACATCTTATTATGAAATTTTGTTTCTTTTTTATTGTCTTTAAAATAAAAAAAATAAAACATTGAGCATTTCTTTTTGTACTGGGACAGCAGTAATGACTTTCCAGAAGGTTTAGTTGCAGTCTTTCCTTTGAGGAAAATGGAACATGCCATGTTGAACCTTTAATGCTTTAAAAGGTGCTTGGAGTTTCCTTTTCTGTCCAGCTTTTTATTGCCACATGGGATCTTAAATGTTCACTCTTTGATCTGGTGCATGCTACATAAGCAGAGGACACTATCTTATTAATAGTTGTTAGAAATCATATTAATACTCTGTACATATGCAGCACTCTATCCCCTGTCCTCTCCTGGGGAACACCTAGAGAAGAATAATTAAGCTAATGAATTGGAATTTTGGTCATCTCAAGCATAGAGTCTCAGCCTGCCTTCCCAGCCTCTGCTTTCATCTTGGCTCCACTTACACACTTAGATCACTTTGGATGCCAAATAGAAGACACATGAAGCTCTCCCTTCCTCATTAGTGTTTAATCCCTGGGGAAAACAGAGAGCACTCACCTCTGAGCTAATTGGATTTGTGGAATTACAAAATGAGGAAGAGTTGGCTTTCAATATCATGGCCCTGTCTATTCTGTAAAACCCATGTCGTTGTTCTGTGGCCCTGACCTGTAGGCAGCTCATGGAGAGAAGCCTGCTACCTCATATGGAAGTGGACACCCTTTCCAGAGAGGTGTAACTACCTCAGAGAGAGAAGGCAAGAAAAGTGAACAACTGCCCCAGTCTGGCACTTCATGCTAAGGCTTTGAATTTTACTTGCTCAGTGAGGCAGAGCAAATGTAGATTGAATCAAGAGGAAGGGAGAAAGCACCTAAAAGACTACTGCAGAGCGCATAGTGAGGATTCCAGCACCCCTGAATACAGGTGAAGGGAAGTTGGTCTCACACCAAAGCCCTGGTTCTTAACCCTAATAGTTGATCAGGTCATCTAAGCAGTTAGACTAGAAATTATATGTTGACAAATTCTTAGTATATACGTGAGATACAAAGTGATAATTCATTGAATGTATACATTGTAGAATGATTAAACCAAGTTCATTGACACACTTCTCATTTCAGATTCTTACCTTTTTGGCAATCAGAACATCTGAAATTTGTATTTCTAGCAATCTTATACAATATACTATTAACTGCAGTTGCCATGTCATGCAATAAATCTAAAAAAAAAAAAAAATCCTTCTACCTGAAACTTGGTGTCCTTTGACTGTCTCCTCCTTTCCATTCTCCTGTCTACTTCTGCAACCACCTTTATATGCTGCTTCAGTGAGTTCTATTGTTTTAGATTTTACACGTAGGTGAGATCATATAATATCAGCCTCCTAAGTAGCAGGGCCTATAAACACATTCCACCACACACACTACACACACACACACACAACACACACATACATTTTTTTAATCTGCTGATTAGTATATCCATGGGGTACAAAGTGATGGTTCATTGAATGTATACAGTGTAGAATGATTAAACCAAGCTCAATTGACATCTAATTCATTTTATGCCTTGGCTATTGTGAAGTATGCTTTAGTTAACCTCGGAATGCAGATACCTCTTCAGTGTACTTTGATTTACTTTGGATATATACTAGAAGTGAGACTCCTACACCATATGGTAGTTCTGTGGAACCTCCCTACAGTTTTCCATAGTGGCTGTACTCACCTACATTCCTACCACAATTGTAGAAGGCTTCCTTCCTCTTCCCACCTTCTCCAGCTCTTACTATTTTTCATCCTTTTGATAGATTTCACTAGGTGAGGTGATAGCTCCTTCTAGCTTTGAGTCACATTTCCCTGGTGATTAGTGATGTTGAGCATTTTTCATATGTCTCTTGGCCATTTGTATGTCTTCTTTTGAGAAATATGTATCCAAGTCCTTTTTCCATTTTTTTTACTGAAGAGGTTTAAAAATTTTAGATGCCTGATATACATTCCCTAGGATTCTGAATCAGTGGAAACAGGGCCATTTCTGACTTTGAAACATTCTGGATGTAATTCGGCTGTGCCATTAGGGTTGAGATTACTGGAACAACAGTTGCAAGCTTCCTCAAGCTTACTGAGCACTTGGGCTCTTGGCATGTAATCATTTAATCCTATGTGAAATGCATGTAGTTTTAGGTCCAGTTCATAGATGAGGAAACTAAGTACAGTGTAGAGAAATAAAGTCAGTTGCTGAAGGCCACTACAAGCTAGGGAGAGAACCAGGGTCACAACACGGACTCTGACTCCAGAGTTTCGCTGAAATAGGATTTTTTAAAAACCTGGATATTTGTTTTATTATTTGAAAATAGCATTCAATTGATATTAAGTAGCCTTTCCCTTAGTAATATTTTTGTCTTTAGATCTTGAAAGTCATTCACAGGATCTTAAAAAAGGGTATGTGCTGAACATGTTAAATTACAGAAGAAAAATTACGTCTTTTAAAATTAATTTCTTCTGTTTCATGATCCAGCCCTGAATGCTATTCCTAGCTTGTGTTCTTTCTATTAAAATCAGAGAAATAACAGGAATATGATCCATTTGATTCCTCTCCTTTTTTGAGTCTATGAAAGTATAAAATAAATACCTAATTAAGGAATTTTTTCCTGATGTTTAAAAATTTTTATTAGCTAAACCCAGACACATTGGCCTGTCATGAGCTTTCCCGCACTAAAAGAGACTAAAAGCATCAGCAGCCATAGAATTGTACTGAAAAGATTTTGTGTGGGAAGACAGATATTTAGGAGGGTTCCCTATTTTGGCAAGTGACTTCATCATTAGGAGTCTAAATGAGCGAGTACTGCACTCCCTAACCTTTTTTCAATTAACAAGAGTGATGATTGTAGCATCCTGAGACTCATATACCTGGAAACTTGTCCATGCTTATTCTCCTTCAAGATGTTCTATCTTCCTAAAGCCACTTAATAAAATAACAGCTAAACAAATTGAAATTGATGTGTTACGGATATGTACCAAGTTCCTGCAATGAATGTTTACAACACATGATTACATTCATTCCAAACAAGTAGTGATTAAAAAAAATAAAAACAAACAAAAAAGTATCAAATTGATCTTGAGCTGCACTTTTTAATTGATTCAGCTCTATTAGCCTGATTGTAACTGGCAGGACTAGATGGATTGCCTTTTACAGCGTTATGAGACAAATATAATTATTTTTTCTCAAAATATTGGCTACTTCATGTTTTGGACTCCTAGATCCCACACTTTAAAAACCTCAGTGATGCTGAGGTCCCTTTTAGTTCCATGATTTTATGATACAATATATGTGGAAATATGTCATTTTTAAAGGAAAGAAGGAAGCTTTGATGCCAAATTCAAAAATATTTTTATATATAAAAGAATGGATGGAAATTTCGATGTTAATACTGGTTATAGATGATGAAGCACTACTAGATATTTTTTCTTATATTTACATTGCATCCTATGCCAGACCTAGGAGACTAACCAGCAGGACCATATCCCTGGTCTAACTTGCTCCCCTGGTGAAAGAAAGGAGAATGGTATTGAGGTGTCTATTCCTCTGATTCCTCATTTCTTTTGGGTTGGTAGAATCCCTCACGTAATAGTCACACATTGTCCTAGTCTATTCAGATTGCTATAACAAATTACCATAGATTTGGATGAGTTATAAACAACAGAAATTTATTTCTTACTGTTCTGGAGGCTGGAAATCTCAGATCAGGGTGCCAGCATGGTCACATTCTGCTGAGGGCTTTCAGTCAGTAGCTGTCTGTTGCATTGTGTGCTCACATGGCAGAAAGAGGGCAGGAATGTTTCATGGAGTTTATTTTTACGATGGTACCAATCTCCTTCGAGAGGATTCCAGTCTCCTAAAAGCCCTCCTCTAGTTCAATCACATTAGGGGTTATAGTTTCAACATATCAATTTTGGGAAGACAAAGACATTCAGTTCATAACACAGTTGTTTGTTTTCTCCACATGACTGTTCCTTTAAGTTCTGGTAACTACTAAGCTTGTTCTGTGAAACCAAAGAGCGTGACAGCCCCGTGTTTTGAGTTCAGAATTGTTTTACTGTCCCGGTGATATCCAGTCACCTTCTCAAACACTACTCCTTGCTATTTTTAAAGATACTAGTGATCACTGTTCAGATTGTCCACTGTCAACAGTAGAATCTGGGTGCCCCCTAAGGCAGTGCTGGTTGCTTTCAGTTGCTTTTTGGCTGAGTGTACACTTATATATTATTTTTCCCTTAGATCCGAGAGTTGAAGATTTGTTCCTCATGTCCTCACCTCTGCCACAAACTGTCATCTTGGGACTCTATGTTTATTTTGTCACATCTCTGGGACCAAAGCTCATGGAGAATCGAAAGCCCTTTGAACTCAAGAAAGCGATGATAACGTACAATTTTTTAATAGTGCTCTTTTCTGTGTATATGTGTTATGAGGCAAGTGTCTTCATTATTCTTAATGGGAGGATTTTGCTTGAGTCTTTCTGCTTGTTTCATCATGTTTTTCATTGCAAGTATAGAGTAACTTTTTGAGAATTGAGGAATTCTGAGCTTAGTATCTTTTCTAGAATAGGTGTTTAACAACAGCAGCCAAGTTATGTCTAGACAAAATAAAAACTCCATAGAGGATCTCAGCATATTTCACAGGTATTGAGAAAAATTAACGTCTAACTCTGGGAACTTGGGTATGGTTTTCATTAGTGAATGACTGACTGAACCCATAAATGTTAGTTTTGAAGAAACACACATTCAGAGAAATTACACAACTCACAATAACATGGCTTGTCTGTGGAGGATGCTACTGGAATGCAGGTACTCCTGACATCAGAGTTCATCCTGTCTCCCTCTTGAGTTGTTATCATCACGTTGAGAACTTTGGATGTTTGTGTTCTCTGATGAGCTACACAGCAGTGCAGTGTTGGGGATTGCTTGAATTGGGCTTTGAGTAGAAAGAGAACATAGACTCACATAGAGAAATAGGTGAATGAGCCTATTCCTGGTCATTAAGCAAGATGGGGATGTTCAAGACCCAAAAGCAGATTCCTGCCCTGTTGCTTTTGCCCCCTGCTTTGAGTATGGCTCAATTCTACTCACACATCTGCTTCTCAGGGATTCTTTACTTCTTTTCTACTTCTGGCTAACTTTCTCCTCCTCTTTTTATGGCACTTCCTATCAGAACTTGCATTTAGTCATAGCTTTGGCTCAGGACAACCCACTGTGGTCCCCTGGCCTCTCTTAACATCCAAGCCTGTCTGTCAAACCCAGTTGCAGCTGCAGATTCACCTGCTCATGTCCATTGATTAAATGTACTCTGGCCTTATTGCCCACAGGCCTTTTGTAAGTCTGCTCTCACTCTGCTGCTTTCCATTTCCTGTACTTTATTTCTGAACTCACAGGCCATTCTGCTGTCCTTTCTAGAATATGATCAACTGAACAGGAAAGAGTACTAGAGTTGGGAAGAAAGAAAATATAGTTGTTTCTATGTTTTTAGATGCAAGAGGTCATATATTACATAACGTTAAGCATACACTTGGAAGCTAGGAGACCAGAACGAAGACCAAGACACTGGCCTGTTACCTTGTCAATCAGTTGATGAATTTTACTGTGTCTATTTATTTAGTGTCTAAGTAAGTTCTGGTTTGGTTACTAATTGCTTGATTTTGAGCAAGTTGCTTAACTCCTCTAGGCCTCATTTCTCTTATTGTATAAAGCCAAATTTGAACCCAATTGTCTCTCAGATCTTAGAATGCTCCAGTTCTTGGGTTCTGTGCCTAATTGTGTCATTGATTGTTATATTACATATATATATATATATATAGAGAGAGAGAGAGAGAGAGTGTAAAAGATTCCAACTATAACCAATTTTGGTTCTACTCTATTAAATACACTATAAAAGACGGTTTGGTAAATCTGAACTTAACAGTTCAGGAGGAATTCTTGTCATATATATGACAGTTTAAGAGTTTATTACCTTCCAAATAGATATTATATTTTTTTTTCTATCCTGCAGTGTGCACATGTATGTCAAAAGTTCCATAGACTATTGGAACTTAATATTAGGAAAACATTACACTGTACTTGGATTAAACAAACACTATTAATTGCCATGAAATTCCATTTGCAGATGACACATCCAAAAGCATGGTTTATTGTGGAGTTTGGCTTCATTGTACAATGAACACCTCCACTAGGATGTCCTGCCAAATAAAAACAAGGTGAAAGAGAAACATGTAGACTGAACTCATATGCCTTCCAGTGATTTTTGATTGTGCTAGACACTTGACACTGTTCAGACATTAATAAAAGGAGACCAGGAAAGACCCTGCAGAATGTCAGGTCATACAGCATCTGTTCAATGCAGCCTTTGTTTGGGTTAGGCTGGGGTGGGGAGTTAGTCATCATAGTTTGAATAAATAGCCTTGCCTTAGACTATTTCATCATTCAAAGTGAGTCTCAGCACAAGAGAAATGGCAGCAGGATCTTGTGGAACAGAACTTGTTATTTGTTTTTGTCATATTCCCTGTTCCTATGAGAAGATCTTTTGACTTGTTTTTGTGGGGCTAATATGTATCTTACGCTTTTTTGCAGCTTAATTTTAAGTATTTCCCAACTTGCTGAGTTAACTATGTGATTATACTGTGTTCTAATTCAAACTAGGAGCTAGTATCAGTATAGTATGCTATATATAGTATAGTATGTTTTAAATATCACAGTTTATGATGTTCTTCTTTGTCTCTTTTTTTGAACCATTAAAATACTCTAATAGAACCTTACAAGCTCTGTTTGGAACTTCAGAATGACACTTTGTCTTAAAAATTTAATATATTGCAAAGTCTTAGTTTTACCTTCAGTAGTAATAAAAATAAAATCGGCTTCAGTGGCAGAAAAATGATATCATCATTGTACTGAGAAACACAACTTTCAGGGAAGATGCTAGAACTTGTGAAACAGGAAATTAAAGGAAAGAATCCTTTTTTCAGTGCCCTAAGTTGAGCTAACTATTTAACATTTGCAATCTTTAAAATTAAAACCTTTTCATTTCAAATACTGTGTTTTAAAAAAAAAACAAATCTCCGGTCTTTCTACGACCAGACTGAAAGAATGTCTATAAATATTTGAAATAAAGAAAGTCAGTATAATCTTTGAATTCCAATTCAGACTCATCAACAGGCTTTTATTCTTACCACCGTTCTAAGGTCGCTTTGTGGGTGTGTTGGAATTAAGGCCTCCCTGATTGAACTGCTATTGTTAAAACATTTTCTTTTCTTGTTTTGTGAATCCAAAGCAAAGTAGTAGCTGAGTCTTGTGTGTGGTCAGTCTTATTTTAAACAAGGAGAAAGTACCAGAGTTAAAACGTCACATCACACCTATCAGCCAAGGATAAGGAAGGCTCCCTGCCTCAGCTACCTTAACAGTACTTCGAGGAATTTCACTTTCTTTAGTGACTGATTAGGAAGATTTAAAATATAGGAAAAAGGCTGGTTCAGAGCCCTGTAAAAGGATACAAATGCGTACACACACACACACACACACACAACTATTTACTATTTAAGCAAAATAATCTTAGGGGTTTTTTTCCTTCATTCTGTTACAATAATCATCCCAAGAAATGATCCATTTAGTCAGGACAGAGTTCATATAAATGATATGAGTTTATGGATTTGTAAATTCTAGATATCAACCTTTTCCGTCAGATGCGTTTTCAGTTTGTCACTGTGCCAGCTGCTTTTTCCTTTGCACTGACTGCTTACCCAGCTGATAGCGTAATGAAGACACAGTCTAATCTACCTTTGTTGTAGCTGAGAGCAAATGCTCCTTCTTCAGTGTGCATGTACTGTCTTGCAGTTTGTGATGTCTGGCTGGGGGACAGGTTATTCATTTGGATGTGATATCGTTGACTATTCACAGACACCCAAAGCTCTGAGGGTAAGTTTCTCTCTGGAAAAATTTGTAAGTCAAAAATGATGTGGGAACTCTTTGCACTCTGTGTGTAGTATTGGCTGTGAATTCAGAATGAGAATAAGTAAATGATTCATCAAGTTATGTATATGGGGAGTTAACTATTACAAGAAAGAATCAGTAAAGACTACAGTTTCCTGAAAATGAAAATTAGTGCTTTTCTTTTTTAATTTTGTGGGTTTAAGTTAATTTGAAGTCCTAAAAAACAGGATTACTATAACATCTAGCAGTTCCTAAGGGAATCAAAGGCAGGGACTCAAAGAGGTAATTGTACACTTGTGATCTTTACAGCATTACTTATAATAGCCAAAAGGCAGTAGCAACTCAAGTGTCTATGAATGCTAAATGAATAAATAAAATGTGGTTTATATGTGTTATAAAATATTTCTATATATATCCATGCCAAGAGGCAGAAAGAGGAGCATTTATTATCACTCAGCCTTTAAAAGTAAAGAAATTCTTAAAGTGTGAATCTTGAGATAATGCTAACTAAAACTGTATAGTTAGAAAAGGACAGATATCATAATAATTGGCTTATATACCTACAGTAGTCAAGAAAAGAGACAAAAAGAATGTTGGCTAAGGCTACAGTGGAGGGGGAATGAAGTTTTTGTTGTTGTTAATATTTTTTGAGAAGTTATTTTTAAATGGATAGAGTTTCAGTTTTGCAAGTTCCACGGGTAGAAGGTAGTAGTAATTCTATAGTAGTGTGAATGTGATTAATACCACTGAATTGTACATTAAAAAATAGTCAAGATCATAAGTCCTGTGTTACGCATTTACCAAAACTCTTAGGAAACTTTTCTGGTATTAAAAAATAGAATGAAATAATTTCTTCTCTATCTGTGTTTCTCTAGATGGTACACACCTGCTGGCTTTATTACTTCTCCAAATTTATTGAGCTGTTAGATACTGTGAGTATGTGGTCACTGTGTGCAGTAAATGTTTGATGTTTCAATGAAGGCAATAAACTGCTACAGTTCCATCTCTGATAACTGGTTCTCATTCCTCAAGCAAACGTACTGTTACATTTTTTGCCTTTTATTATAAGTAATTTTAGAGAGTAAGAGTTTACTTCTAGCATTTCTCAAACTCCAAAAGGTAGGTTTTTTTATAGTTACCATCTGATTAAGATGAACACAGAACTGCCATGTGTACTACAAATCTGTACATCTAGATGTAGAAGGCAGCTGTTGTTTTGTAAACAAGTTCAGAAAGCCAAGATCAGAGGCCATCGTACCATTGGTTCTTAGACCAAAGCATTCCTTTAGAGGGTAAATGTTTCAAAACTCAAGGTTATGCTAGGAGGTGAAGTTACCCCTGCATTTTTATTGTTTTAGCTGCATTTCTATCCCTGGATCTTTCTACTTCTAATCTTGGTGAGGATCAACTTTGGACTTGGATGACTGGGTCTTGGGAGAAGCAGACATCAGGGTTTTACTCTATGCAGAGAAGACAAAGCTATGAACCTTTGTTTCCAGACCAGTGTCTCTCAATGTAGTGGAAATAATGGTACTGCAAACTAAGGCAGCACATGTGAGCTCCACTGTAATTTGGTACCGAATGATCTGGGGTAGAGACCAGGAATGATTATTTGTTGAAAGTTTCCTGGGTATTGTAATATGAAATAGGGTGAGAGTACCATTGATTCAGACCAGAGCTCTCATCGTGAGAACAATGAAGACTAGGAAATAAAGTGACTTAGAAGACCGCTGCTCCTGACAGGGAGCAGGACTGCATTGTTAGGGTATCACTTGCTCTGGGCTGTGTTCTTCCGTGTGCATAAACAAATGCGTTGGGCCTCACTGACTGCTTTGCATGTTCTCAGTTGCAGCTTCCATTAGAACAGTGGCTGCCTCTTTGTCCTTTCCTGAGCTGCATTTCTCAAATACTCCATTACAGTAGTGCTTTTTGTGTTATGCTGTCTTGACTATAAGAGTCAAACTTTAGCGCTGGCATTCTGAATTTCACTTTGGAATTTTTTTTTTTTTTTTTTTTAATATACCCATCCCTCAGTTGTACTTTTGTGTCATTTACAGGGTTTCTGTAAACCTAGCGGGTGTTCAATCTGAGTGGTACTTTTCTTGCCCTGCTCATTTTTTTTATGCAGCTTTGCTTTCATTTTTATCCTGGTTTCCCAATTAACACCTAAAAAAAAATTCTCTTCTTTCTTTAATACAGTAAATTTTTGATTTGCTTTTGGCTTACCTAATTCCTTATCCAAACTGATAGGACCGAGTCTCTAGAGAGCAATGTAGAATAAAATAATTTAGTCCTGAAAGTTAAAGCCTTCCTCTCTTCCATATACTTTAAAATCTATTTTTAAATTAAAAATTTAACCATTATTATTTCTTTCATTAATTTTCTGTGTAATGCTTTTTTGTGTACTTTCAGTTTTGAAATCTGCATGAAATTTTTTTTCACCTGCATATTGGCTCTCCCCGATTAGATGTAATACCTGTGTTCCTTTTTACTAGTTGCCTTTTGAGCTGCCTGTTTGAGAATCAGCTCCTTCTACAAAGAGCAGCCCTTATTTTAAAGCAAATTATAACGCAGGCTACTTGGCTCTTTGGCAATATTTATGTAATGCTCAGTAAGGTGTTACATGATTTTTATGAACCCGATTTTCTTTATATTATTTCAGGTGTTTTTTGTTCTGCGTAAGAAGAATAGCCAAGTGACTTTCCTTCATGTCTTTCATCATACCATCATGCCATGGACCTGGTGGTTTGGAGTGAAATTTGCCGCAGGTAGCCATGTTGGAATCGTGTCATACAACCCATCACATTTTATAAGGAAACTTTTTAAAAATGAAACAATGACTTTACTTAACCTTTTGACTTCAAATTAGTAGGTCAAACATAATCAATGAACTATTAGGACACCACTCCTGTACATAACATTTTTGGGTACAGTATTCTGGACATACTCTTTAGTTTTGTTTGGATGTTTTTCTTTTCTCATAGAGCTTCCATGTCTCTGAAAATAATTAATAAACTAAATACATAAAATGGTAAAAACTTTGGCTTTATAGTAGTGATTAGTTAATATTTATCAGTGTGATTAGGTAATATTTCTTTATTGTTACCAAAGTTAAAATGTTTTTCTCAAATTTCCTGTCTTACTTGCTTACTTGCGTTCACATTCCTTATAACACCCTTAGTCCGTATTGTAATGCTGTGATAAAATATCTAAGTCTGGTTGATGTAAAAGACATCAGATTTACTTAAAAGTCGGTTCAGGCTAAAAAGAAATCTTCTGTAAGCGAAAGAGTGAGAGAGACTGGGGAGGCTCCTGCCCCACTCTTGTGTAACATCTCATTATCCAGGCAACTAATCCACTTCTGTGAGGCTGATCCACTCCAATCCAGGAAGGCAACACTGCTGCTTTTATGAGGATGATCACAGCCTGGTCACTTCCCTCTTACAGATCTTATCACCTTTCAGTGCCGGCACATTAGGAACAAAACTTCTGGCATCTGAGCCTTAAAAGATGCATCAGGTTGTGGTGACCCTGCAAAGCATTCTACCATAGTAAAAGATAAAGTGTTGCTAGTATTTTTTTTTTTAGATCAAAGATAGTTTAAATAAAGAGTTTAAGAAGCAGCTTTTTTCATATACTTGATTCTGATTTTATGCTTCCAAGCATTTAGAACTGGAGAAAACAGACAGTAATTTTGTCATACCTCTCTTCATGATGTTTGAAGTGAGCGATATCCTTGAGGACTTATCCTCATCTTTGCCAACTTTAATTGGAAAATGTATTCTAAACTCTTAACTTCAAAAATCTTCAAGTAAGCCTATAGTTTTACTATAGCATTAAGAAGTGCTTTCACATGTTTATGAATAGCTTACCTTGACTGGACATTCTGGTTCTGGTAGACTAAAAGAAGAGAGATTACAATTGAGGAACTGTTGTTTGAGTTTTAGGCATGGGTTATGAGGAGCCGTAGAAACCACATGTAGTAGAGTATGAGAGGACATGAATAAGATAGAAGGAAGGAGGAGATGCCAGAATATAAAGGTGAGAAATGTTGGTTTAAGGCTGTATCTACTAGGGCCTGGAGGCATTAGATTTTCCATTGTATAAGGTATCTTCTAGTCAGGTGTGATGGTGCACACATGTAATCCCAGCACTTGGGAGGCTGAGGCAGGAGTATCATTGCAAGTCTGAGACCAGCCTGAGCTACAAAGTGAGCTCAAGGCCATTCTGCACTGCATAGTGAAACTCTGTTTCCAAAAGACACACAGAAAGAAAGAAAAGAATGAAAGAAAGAAAGAAAGTAAGAGAGAAAAGAAAGAATAAAAGAAAGAAACAAGGCTTCTTTTTGCTCTAAATTGTCATTTATCTGTTAAGGAATTTTTTAAAGCATAGCACCTTTTTCTTACACTATGTATTAATGTAAAAATTTTACCCATAGTCATAGCTGTGTGTATTTTACAAATCTAGGATAGCTATATAATACTTAATTTTCATTTTTTTACTTATCATTAGTTTCTTATTTTTGTCTTCTCTCACATGTATATTGTGCCTCTCAGTCCTCAGTGATTATATATGTATATATATATATGTATATATATATATATATATATATATATATATATATATATATATATATGATTTTAAAGGGACTAAAACAGAGCAATAAAATGAATCAGAACAGTGATAAGACAGCAGGAAATCTACAATAGTTACTATATTGCATATTGTTGTCCTCTAAACAGTTCGACTGTAAGCTTGCAAAGTCAGTCAAACGTAGAGTCCCTTCAAATCAGCTGGATGCTCATGGGCAGTAGGGTGGTTCTCCTCTCCTTGATCCATGTTCCAGCTGGCTCACGGGCTGGAGCTTAGTTTTTTTTCCTTGTTCTCCCCAATCTACACTCCGGCTGGCTCACTGGCCAGGGCTTAGCTTCTTTTCTTCCTCACTGATACATATTGACACCATGTTGGTGAAAAACTGGAAAAATACCTAAATGTTGGCTAACAGAGTGATTATTGTTTCTCGTATGTATGTTGTCATGAAATCATACTGAGAGACATTTATTCCTTTCCATTAAACAGTCTGCCTTTAAATTATCAGACAAGGTGACTTTTATTTTTAACCACTAGTAAAGGTGCTTTCATATACTTTTTTCTTGTCTTTATTCCCTAAACTATGGATTGGAACAAAGATTTACATAACATTTACATTGCTTGGTATTATTATAAGTAATCTGAAATCACTTAAAGTATTGGGGATGGTATAAGTTATATGTAAACACTACCATTTTATAGAAAGATATTTGAATGTCCAGAAATTGATATCCTCAGGGAGTCCTGGAACTAATTTCCTTTTGTTTGTCAAAAAACAACTGCATGTACTACAACACTAATAAAAGAAAGAGAAATAAAAACAGAATAAAAAATTACAATACAGCCCTCTGGAGTAACATACAGGTGGTTTGGAGATCCTGAAACAAAAAAGTGGTTTCCCTCACCTTCGATTTAGGCTTCTCTTTACTTTCCAGGTGTTGTTTTTTTTTTTTTTTTTTTCTTCTGCATTGAATGTTTGATAGTTCTATCATGGGAATCATACATTTTTATTTAGTAGTGGAGGATTTTTTTTCCTTCTGTGTTTGACTGCATTGATAGTCTAACTTCCATTTCAAGAACAAAAAATGCTTTGAATAATGATATTGTAAGCATGATATCCTTCAGTGTTTAAGTGTTATCCTGTTTATGGACATGAGTCATTTTGTGATGGGTTCCTTGTCCACACCCTAACCTGCCGCCTTCTTTACAAAACATGCAAGGTCAGGATGTTTTCTTGTCTCCCATGCACTCCCCGTGACGCCATTCCTGCTCCTGGTACCTGTGGAGTTGGCTGAAAACTCTCTCCGCATTCCCAGGGCCCATTCAGTTGCAAATATACCAGCAGTAGCTTTTTCCTCAAGTGGGATTCTGCGTTGCTTTCCATTCCTAGAGTGAGACTGATTTAAACTGTTCTTTTCAAAAACTTGAGTATAGCTGATATCTATCTAGTGTTTAATTTCCTGTTTGCTTCTTGTACCCTTCTCTGAGATAATAACCCAACTTTTCTTTTGGATTAGATGAAAAGATTTCTGTGGCTGCTTTTTATAACATATATATCTTTTAAGGGATATGGGGAATTATGACAATTATCCATGTGATTCCTTTACTTTTCCTAAGGTAACGGAGTAAAATGTGATGCCTTTGCTTTTAATTGTGATTTACTCAGTTTGCTTTTCAAATCCATTATTGTAAAGGAATCACAATTTTAAAATACCTGACTAGAAAAACCTTCCTAACAGTAAAATAAAAAACATTACTAATTAAAATGTTATTCTGTGGAAAAAATTAAAATATCATCAGAAAAGAATCATAGAGAAAATAAGTTAATTTTATTTGGTATTTTATTTTGATGAGTAACCTTTACTAAATACTCTCTGTTACAATAAGTACTTTGTTTAATTCCTATCACAGGATCCTTGTATTAGAGTGTTTAAATGGTAAAAGTATCCACATGGAAAATGGATACTGTTTTACCAAACAAGGGAGACATGCCTGAGTGAGAAAGGCTGTGATACAGTTTCTTAGAAAGCCTTAAATAGAGTTCCTGTTTAAGTATTACATGAAACATAAAAAGACTTGAGAGATATTTGGCTTATTCCCTTGTGAAGTAGCTTAATTCCTAAACTTCCTAAGTAGAAAGCTACTATATCTTAAAATTAAATTTAAAAATATAAAATTAATCTAGAAAAAGTGTTTTCATACCACTATAATTTACTTATTCAAGTTTCTCTTGGAAGATTAATCCAATTGTAAAATAAAAGCTGAGAGGTTGTTAATAAGCTTCATTGATTCAGTTCCTTCCAAAATTTGTGATATTTCAGGGATTAGCTAAAATTTGATGCACTATCCTCAGGAGTAGAAAGGAAGTATAACTAAATGATGTTTGAGGGAAATAATTACTTAAAAATAGCTTTATGCTGGGTGTGGTAGCACATGCCTGTAACTCCAGCTCAAGGGCAGCTGAGACTTAAGGATCTTTGTAAGTTTGAGGCCAGCATGAAACACATAATGAGTTCAAGGACAGCTTGCATTTAAGTGAGACCTTGCCTCAGAAAAAAAAAAAAAAAAAGTGTACGGCCATATCCCCTGAACCCGCCCTATCTCATCTTTAAAAAAAAAGTTGTATTTAAAACAAGTTATTTGAAGGGAGTACTGTAGCTGTGGTAATATGTAGAAGGATTGAGAATCATTATTAAAAAGTAATTAATCTTTTCTCTATAACAGTTTTATGACATTTTCCCTTAGGACACTATCTTAGAAATGATAAAAGTTATATTTTCCTTTAAATGTTGTATAATTCATAGTGTTTGTGAATTCAGTCCTTCCTCTATCATAAAAATTTGTGAGGTTTGGCTTTACTTCTAGCGTCAAAGAAATCTAGAATTAAGAGAGTATTTTGGAGAAAATTTAAAATTTAAGTCAACACTCTGAAGTCAACACAGACTGTACACAAAAAGGGCAGGTTTCTATCAATATAGTGCTATGTACCTATAGTTCCGGTTATCTGGGAGGCTGAGGTGGAGTATCATTTGAGTCCAGCCTAAACACTGTAGCAAGACCTTTTTTTTTGTTTTTGTTTTTATTTTAAGAAAGAGAGAAAAGGAAAGAAAGGAAAAAAAAAAAAGGATAGATTCTTCTAGATTATGTCCTTTAGGGAAGAGATGCAAAGGAGGCGTTTCTGCCCCCCAACATCATTTAAGCACCTCACCTTTACTCACTACTGTTACAGGTGAAGACAATTGAAATGGTCTTTCTATATATTCTCAAATCTTCTTTGCTTCTTTCTTAATTGGAGATAATGAAATTAGAAGAGGAAATCTAAGATAGGAAGATATAATCAAATGGATGAACTATCTGGGGTGGTTTTACAATTAGTAGATGTTTATTTTGGAAAAATAGCAATGATACACATTTTGTGTAGTTTACTAATGAGAAAGCCATAGGTGTTACTGCTAAAATTTTATGGCATTAAAAATACTTATTACACATTCTTGAGAGTGGAGAAAAATGTATTTGATGCCATACAGTGACATGTACCAAACAGTCTCTGCAACTTTATTTATAATAGCTTACACTGGAGACAACTCAAATGTTTCCAGCTCGGGTGAGGAAAAATCCTGATGTACTCATACACTGTAATTCTGCGCAGCAGTAGGAAACCACTGTTACTATACATGTACCAACATGCATGAGTCTTAAAAACATTTTGTTGATTGACAGAACATAGGCACAAATATGTGCACTGTGTATAATTTCACTTAAATAAAGTTTAATAACAGGCAGAATTAACAGTCGGCCTTGGAGCGGGCATATTCTTATAAGTGGACATGAGAATCTTAGGAATATTTTATATCTGAATCTTGGTGGTGGTTACATACATGAATATATGTGAAAAAATTTGCACATTTAAGATTAAAATAGTTTATATAAGATAACTTTCTTAAAGTTATTTTGATTATTAAGCAATATATCATTTAAGAAATATCTCAGTTTAGTTTGTTAAAGTAAACATGAATCATAAGGCTATCTTAGTAGTAAGATATAGCTAGATATAAATAAACATAATAATTTATTTTCTAAGATTTGGGCGTTATTTTTAACTTATTACCCAGCGTCTTCTACTTTGATGGCTGTTTGGCAGAAGTGATATTTCATAATATGTTTTTATTTCTTTCTGTTGAAATTCATGAAATATGATGATACTGAAATATCAGTTAAGACAAAAAATGTATCTGATTTTAAGGTGCCCTCATGTTGCAACACTTTTTTCCAGGTGGTTTGGGAACATTCCATGCCATGGTGAATTCAGCTGTGCATGTAGTCATGTATACCTACTATGGCTTATGTGCAATGGGACCAGCCTACCAGAAGTATTTGTGGTGGAAAAAACATTTGACATCTTTACAGCTTGTGAGTAATAAATTTTCTTTAAAACCAGACATGAAATTAGAATTATTTTCACTGTGAATTAGGAAACTAAAGAAAAAAGTTTATAAAACAGTAATAAAAGTAGTGTAGTCACTATCCTTTCTATGTTATTTGAACTTTGTCAAGAAGTACATTAGCCAAACCGTATCTAAATACTTCTAAGACTTGAAAATTAAATTAGTCTTTATTTCATCTCTATACTATTATACACATTTATTTAAAAACTATGGGGTAGGTTAGCTTAGTGGTAGAGTCCTTGATTCATTCACTCCCACTCTGTCTCTCTCTCTGTGTATATATATATCTATAAAATTTATGCACACAATGCACACATAAATAATTTATATAAACATGTTTTACTCATAAATTATCATGTATGTAATGAAAATAATCTCAAAACTGTGATGATCAACAGATATAATATGAAATTAGAAGTTAGAAATTCTGGGCTAGGGATGTAGCTTTGTGGTAGAGTGCTTGTCTTACAGGCACGATCCTTCCTTTTGATGCCCAGCACTAGCTAAAAGAAAGACAAAAAGAAGTTAGAATTTCCATATTTTACTTCTAAATTACCTTGAAAAATTTATCTTTCTTCTAATAAGTAAAAAAAGAATTCTTTCACCCTCATGTTTCCAGATTTGCAGTCCATAAAAAACTGGGTTCACATTTTGCTGATGATGCCAAGGAGAATAATATGAATTTAGATATAGATAACCTGTTGAGGATTAACATTTATTAAAAATCCTATAAGTTGTTAAATGATTTAAATGTGTCACATTCATATAAGGTGCTTTCCCAGACGGATGTTTCAGTCTATAAAGATCCCAAATCAAAATCAGAGTATTGACCTTGCAGTTATTTAATGTCTGAAATTGGCAACAATCTAAACAACTAACTGTAAGGAAATGGCAAAATAAATTATTTTAACTCATACTTTGAAATACTGTAAGGTCATAATAATTATTCATTTCTATTTTCTTTTAAAATATTGAAAGATTGAGAATATTTAAAAATATATCTTTGCCCATTGCAAATAAATTAGAAAACCTAATTAGACAAAAAGAAAGAGAATAAAGACAAGGAGCAGGAATGTAGCTAAGTCATGGTGTGCTTGCCTAGTTTGTAGAAGGTGTAAAGCGCTGGGTTCAGTCCTTAATACTGCAGAGACAGGGAGAGATGGATCCATTATTTGGGGGTCATAATGCTGAAATGGTTTATCTTGTTCTGTTAGCTCTTCTTGCTGATGTCTCTGTGCATATAACCTTTAGGTGATTTGATTTACACTGCACACACAATTTTTTATTAGTCTTTTGTTCTACTTAACATTCCAAGTATTGTGAAAAGTTTTAACAAAATATAAAAAATTCTTATGTAGAAAAAGATATTGTTATTATTCTGAATAAGTCAGCAACAGTTGCACACACATATATAAGATATCGAGCACCTTGATTACCCTTTCTAAGGTTCTATCTCTTTTTCTCTAAAATTAAAGGAATAACTGCAGTTACTGTGCAGGAGGACCATGATCAGATTCAGTAAGATAAGACGAAGATGAGCTGGGATTGGGGCTCAGTGGTTGAATGCTCGCCTAGCATACACAAGGTCTTGGTTTGCTCCACAGCATCCTTCCCCCATAAAGCCTCACTCCTTACTGGTGTTTTGTTTTGTTTTGTTTTTGTTGGTGCTGGGGATTGATCCCAAGGCCTTGTGCATGCAAGGCAAGAACTCTGCCACTGAGCCACAACCCCAACCCTGGTTTCTCTTCTCCTCACTTGGAACCTTTGACTGTTTTTATCTATGATGATGGAGGGCATGAAGCAGATCTGAAGAACCAGAGATTCTTTGACTCCTATGAAATAATAAAGGCTCTAATTCAAATGTTTTTCTTTTCCAAAAATTGAAATATTTATTCTAACAGCAGGGCAAAATACTTGAAATCTAAACCATCCAGTGAACTTGGGGTCCAGGTAGTAGTACTGCATATATTTCATCAAAGCTAGGGACCCAAGTCAGATACTTCCAAAGGCAATCTCCCTGTGATTCTCTGAGTGGTAATGTGGTTGTGTGCTGTAAGACCACTTAAATAAGACCCCCTGGAGCCCTCTATTTTGGCAGAACTAAATACAGGTTTCAAACTCCTGTCTGGGGTTTTGACAGTGTATCATCTGTTTTCATTCCTAAGAGGCTAATTCAAAGTGAACTTCCCTGTACCCCCTGGATACAGGTGAGGGGTATGTAAACGTAAGTAGGCCAGGAATTGTTAAGCTGTCAGAGCAAGGAATGTAGCTTGATGCAGAACACTTGACTAGCATGCACAAGGCCCCAGGTTTGACTCTTAGCACTGCAAAAAAGAATGAATGAATACATCAATGAATAATGGAAACTCTTCATATCTAAATATTGTTTTCACTCTTTCATTTTTTTAGGTCCAGTTTGTTATTGTCACCATCCACATGGGCCACATCTTTCTCATGGAGGATTGCAAATACCAGTATCCAATCTTTATGTACATTATTATGTCATATGGGTGCATTTTTCTGCTCCTTTTTCTTCATTTTTGGTACTGTGCTTACACCAAGGGACAGAGGCCACCAAAAACTATAAGAAGTGAAAACTATAAAAACAAGTAATACTAAAATATAACATGAACCTGTGATTGAGACTGATACCTTGTCTTCCTTGACAATCAAGAAATATTTACCTATGCAATGCATTTTGTATATTTTTTCAAAATCAAGAGCTTGTATTTTTATGGTAAGTTATTGGGGTTTCTGATATTAAATAGAGTGCAACACTCCCAGACAAGTCTTCTGATTAAAGCCTAGAGCAGCTAGAATTTTTCTCAGCTGCTTTCAAACCTAATGAAAAGGTTTTTATTTAATACTTTTTGTTACAGTGAAGGGAGGATATGAAGTTGCATAGTACTCTTCAAAAATGTCCAGTAGAGATGAAAAATATTAGATATTTTGATCATGGACAGAGTTCCAGCGAGTATAGTAGATTCCTTCTGCAGGGTTATAGGCCTCCACCTGCAGGCTTTTGACTCTCACTTGTCAGCTGCACTCAGAAGATGTTGCATTTACTCTGGAGTTCAGTTCCCATTCTAAAGAGCTAACATGGGCAAGCAGTAAATGAATTTTTGATAAGTTGTGATTTAAAATCACTAACAATAAATTTTAATGGATCTTTTGAATAGCTGCCATAAGTTTTGCTGATAAGACTTTCTCACAACCCCTTTGTTGTCCAAACTGTTTTAAGGTAGCAATGCTCTCTCTGACTACACTGATATACTTGACATTAAGGTGAAGTTAACATATGTTGGAAACAAGATGATTTCTTTCGATGGGCTGTTACAGTTTTACATTTAATGTTTTATATCTCTGGAAAGAAGTGAATGTATCAATGAAACAAATATTGTGTAGTGGAAAAAGCCTGATTATGTCACTTTCTGATAGTTTAGAGGGTTATCTCATTTAAATATATGTTGGTTACACACTTAAATAGTTACATGACTAGCATACCATAGGTACATTTAAATCACAAATAATTTTAGGCCAAATATTACAGTTTCTAGACAGGATTTGAGTAGTTTATCACTCAGCAGAGGCAGGTGGTAGCATAGAGAGTATCTAGGGGAATATTTGATTTTTAAGTAAGGGCTTCTCTACTTTGAGAAACTGACAAACTACATTATAGTATAATATATCTCTAGTATTACAAATACATTGCACAAGAAAGTATTTTACAGAATTGTGAATTGGTCTGGATTTCTTTTTCCAGATGTATAAACCATGTAATGAATGGCTGAAATTCAATAGGCATAGGTTTTTATTTTTCCTCTAAAGTTGCTACTTTCCATATTTATTTGTTCTTATGTTTTCTTATTGGACAGCCAAAACTACTGATCAGTACAGTTTTGTCCTAGAAAGAGCATGGGCTGGGGATTTAGCTCAGTGGCATAAGCGCCTACCCGGCAAGTGCAAGGTCATGAGTTCGATCCCTGGTATCAAAAAAAAAAAAAAAAAAAAAGCAACATTTGGAAATTTGTGGCTCTTGACTTTTCTCCTGTTATGTTTATACTCAATTTTGAAGGGCTTATATGTGAAGGTTTTAAACAACTGGTACTTACGGCTCAGGTTATTGTGTAACACACAGTGATACTAGTTGTACAACAAAGCCTGTGTTTTTCACTAATTTTATAGTCGCTGGTTCTGTGTCTTTCTCCTACCCCATTTTTATATAACATAGCCTTATGTCTTCACACTTACCAGGTTTATAAGGCCAGTAAGTGAACTTTAGTGATTTTATTGCTTACATTACATGAAAACACAAGGGTTAATACATGGAGGAATTTTCTATTTTTACAAAATAAAGAACAGGAGAACAATTAAAAGACACAACTGCTTTATTTATTTCATTGTGAAGTTCTCAGGGTTTCTTTAGTGTTTTCCTGTTTTAGCGCCTCATGCCCAGCCTGTGCTAAAATTAGGTACGGTAGGTGCTATTATACACATGGGCAGTGTCTAAAGACCTAAGTAAGAAGAAGACCAAATGGAAACAAAAGGAAGAGATAAAACGGGAGTGTTTATTTCTTTCTGACTCAAACCACTGATAGCTCTGTGGCAGAATACTTGCCTATTATGAGTGAGGTCCTGTGTTCGATTCCCAGCCCTTCAAAGAAAGGAGGGAGGAAGGGAGGAGGCAGCGAGGCTACAGAGGGAGGGGGAGGTTTGACTTGCTGTGAACTAACAGCACATGATGAAACCACATTCTCAGTTCTATGAATAAAAGTGGAGAGGTGGCGAATTCACATGAAAGTAAATCACAAGTGACAGAGGCGCTGTCCATGTAAACATCAGTAGATCAAAATGAATGTCACTAGATACAGAATTTGTGTGGGTGGTATCAAAGGGTTTGGGTGGTCACGTAGCATTTCTCTGGGTATTCCATCCCACTTTTCTGGACTTAATGACTTCGAGTTTGCTTTCTTAACAAAAAGCCAAGCTATGAAATCTAATTTGTTATATAAAGCTTTACGAATTCTTGAGGACCTATGTCTATCTTGTAAATAAATGCCAAATAAATTTTTAAATATCTAACAGAGGCTGTCATTTTATAGTCCTAATTCTTTAAGTAGAATTCCTGAGTATGATATATTGTTTCATAATTATAAAATTTTGAGATGATATTCCCTCAATTACACCTTATTTCAGTTGGTATTTTAAAAACTGGAAATTCTATGGAGATTGTCAAAGTTTGGGTTTGTTATCTATTATAATAAATCTGTGGTGTCACATAAGTGTTTGCATGTGCATGTGTTTCATTTTAGAATATTGTCACATATGTTTACATGAGTAGGGAGTTTTGCATCTGAATATGCACCTAACTAAAGAATTTTACACATGTCTTGTATATTTACTATGCTCAGACCACTGTGCTGGACATTTGAGTGACACAAAGATGCCAAGGGCATAGTTAGGACCCCTTGGAGCTTACAGGCTGGCAGATTAAATTATGCTATAGAGTAGTATGTGATGGGTACCTAATGAGTCAAGTCCTGCCATTTAACAACTAGGGAAGACTCTATAAAAGAACTTGAATTGGATTTGTATCCTTAAAAGGTACAGAATTTCAAAGCAAGCAGTGGACTGGACTATTAGGTCTTAAATAAAAATAAATGACAAAATAAAGAGAATTTTTTTATCCCTAACTGAAATAATCATGCTAGGTAATGCCCATATGTGTTTGCTAAGATAATGAGATGAAAAGTTGGTAAGGAATAATACCATAATGGATGACTTACACTGACAAAATCTAAATCCACTTATCAATCTCAATATCATTAAAAGTGGCACAGTCAGATATATATCTTAATACAAGGTATGCTAAAACAGTGAATGTTTAGAGTTTTAAAAAATTTCTTATAGTAAAAGGTACATTACCATTTCTCCCCCTCAAAATAATGCCCCCTGTTCAGAAACACTTCTCCCATTGTTCTTTCCACTTTCTGAAGCAGGTCTGGAAGTCGTCTTTTGTGAGAGTCTTTAGATGCACCATCATAGCACCCTCAGTGTCCTGAATCAGTTCAAAATATTGACCTTCCATGGTCATTTTGCCTTTGAGGAAGAACTAGAACTTGCCTGATACCAGATAAGGCAGATGAGGACTTACACTGTTTTTACAAGCCTGCCCTCTGTTGTCAGCACTTGTAGTCACCATGTTATTATTTTTTTTTTTTTTTATCATACCTCGTGAAAGAGGACTTCTAGAACTGCTTTAGAAAGTTACAACGATGATGGGATAGGTATGTTTGAAATGAGGGAAAGTAGTTTGAAGAGGGTTAATGACAATGTCTTTTACTGTAATAAACTTTTGTGGATTTGGGGGGGGGTTATTTTGTTTTTAGTGGTACTGTTTTTAGACATGTCTTGCTATGTAGTTCAGGCTGGCCTGAACTCACTGTGAAGCCCAGCCTGGCCTAAATCATGGTAATCATCCTGACTCGGCCTCCTGAGTACAGAGATTACAGGCAAACAACAACCAGCCATGGCTACTAATAATAATTTTTAAAATTTAAGCCCTTACCATATAGTTTGATCACAACTCATATATTCTTAAAAAGCATCTTTTAAAATTTGAATCTAATCAATCATCTATATTTAAACTACCAGCTAGAAAAACTTCATCGGGTAGAGGAAGATGTTAAAAGACCTCAAGGGAATACTATCAGCCAAACCCAGGATATAGCAGTCTGTAGGACAACTTCATCAACAAAAACCAGTATTTTAAAAAGGATGGGGGCGTAACATGTTCTAAGTGATAGAACACTTTCCTGCCATGCATAAGGCTCTGGACTCAATACTTGGCACTGGAAAAAGAAAAGAAAGGTCCTGCGTTTGTACTTTACACACATGGTGTAATCAGGTGGTAGAATCAGGTAGCAGAGCACCTGATTCATGTGTGTAAAGTCTTGGATTTGATTCGCAGCATCACCAAAAAAAAAAGTTTGTGCAATGAATGTATGTTATTTTACTATATGCTTCACTCGACCTTGTATATATTTGAAATTTTCTAGCTTTTGAAAAGCCTTGTATGTATTATAAAATTCTATAAAGATGTTATTTTTAAATTTGTAGCCCAGGTTGGTCTTGAACTCAAAATTCTCCTCCCCTCAGCCTCCCAAATGCTGAAATTAAAGGTGTGTACCACTATGCCTAACAATATTATTTTTCATTCCAAGTAGTAATCAAACTAACATGATTATGGTACAATGATAGTGAGTGGAAACTGGGATCAAAAAGTTTTGCTGTCCTTAGAATGTTCTGAAGTGTCAAGGTAGTTGCTTGTATTTAAATGTGAAGAAATAAGAATGTATTACTTTGCCCCTCCCCCTCCAAGAAATCTAATAGAATTGATGTAATTATTTACTAGTGACTAGACTCTTAAGTGTTATGAGAAGCTTTAACATGTTCTTGTTGTAGTCCTTAAGTACAGGATTTTTAGAAAAATGCCAATATAAAAGTTTAGGAGAAACTGCAAAAAGTTTAGGAGAAACAGCAAAGAAAGAGATGTGTATGTACTGATCAGTGTGTATAAACACCTCTAGAAATATACCTTGTAAGTGTCTGTACCTGTTTTAATATAAACACAAGTTCATACTGATATCTCCAACACTACTACACTGCCACAAGATCTCTCCCTAGCCTTTACCCCTGGTTTCTCTGTGACTCCAACAGCGTAAAACATGGTTCCCAACACCTGCCATGTAATTATTTGTCTCTAATAATGAATGTTGTATAGTGGTTTTTTAATTATTCTATATCTCATTGTATCAACAAGAGTTCATTTTGTCAATCATCTTGGAGAGCAACGCTTGCCAAAGGTTTTTAGGTTGGTACCTTCTCATGTCCTTAATGATGTTATTTCACAAATTTGTGATATAATTCAATTATTTGGTCACACTCTGCATTTTATCCAGGGAATCTCACCTACTAGATCAGTGATGGCAAACATTTTAGAGCTTTCAATGATACAAATACCCCACTGTGGCATATGTGCATAGGTTTACCACCACTGACCTACACCATTAAAACAGTTTATACATTAGTATTGACTCTGTGCTTTGTATATCTTTGAGTTTTGATAAAAGCATAATGTACTATATCTCTCTTTAAAGTATCTTACTGAGTAGTTTCACTGATCTAAAGAACACCCATACTTTACTGCTTCCACCCATCTGCACCCTGAACACCTGGCATCCACTGATCTATTCTCTCTAGCTTTACCTTTTCCAGAATTTTATATAAATGAAATTATACAATATGTAGCTTCAGTATGCCTCACCGATCTGTATGTCAAATTCTTTTTCTATGCTTGGGAAGTTTTCTACCATTACTTCTATGAACAGTATATATATATTTGTGCTAACTCCATTTTTTCCTTGATTCTGATGAATCTTATCCTTTGTATCATCTAGAAGCTTTGTGAAACTAGTAAAAAAAAATAGAAGGGAAAGAAACAGGAACAGAGCAAAAGGAAAAAAACTCTTAGAAACATTATTCACACATTTACAAAAACCAGAACAAAAAAGGGGGAAAAAAAGTCCACTTCAGGGTGTATTTCTGCTGCTACTGTGGTTGAGTGGGTTAGACAGAGCCCAGATCCATGTTGGGTGATTCTAGCAAGCCTGCAGTAGAATTATGATATTGCAGTGGATGATCCCAGCAATCCTGTGCTTTCAACTCCCCAGAAGTTTAGGTTGTTTCTGGTTTCTAGCTGTGAGTCTGGGGCCCAAGTTGTTCAGCCCACAATGCTCCATGGGCCTCTTGAGAGCTCAGCTCTCCAAACCTGGTTGTCTTTCATGGCTGCACCTTACACTGATGCTGTATGGCACCAACCCATGGCTGCACTGAGTACCGTGTTCAGCTGGCCCCTTCCCAAAATGATGACCAACCTATTGGTCTCTCCTGGGGATATCTGAACTGCACCCCACAGTGCACCCCACTGCACCCCACAAGTGTGTAATGTTCTGCTCCACTGGTGTGTTTCTCTGTGTAGGCTTCTGGAGTCCTTTGTACACAGTGAGCCTCTGTAACTTCGAACTGCTCTCCAGCTGGGAGCTAGCATTCGGGAAGAAGGCACTGTTTGCTATTACCTTCTAAATTGAGGTCCCTATCTTTGCTCTCCCTAAGGGCTCTGGTCCTCACTTCAGATCTTGCTGGGTCCTGGGGACCCACTTCTTATGTTTCCAACATTGTTGTATTCCAGTATCTGGAGTCCAAGTTTTAGAGAGGTTGATTCACTGGTGCTCACAACGCCGTCTTCTTCCTGGAAGTTTTGTTTGTTTTTGTGCTGAGGCTTGTAAGAAAATTATATGGGTAACTTTGTTACTAGTATGGTTAATGTATACTTCGGATAATGTCCACTTTTCAGACATAGCCTCTGGCTGTTGCTAACTACAGGCCTTTACCTCTGTGTCAGGATCCAACCTACCTCTGTTTCTTTGGGAGGGGAGATTGCAGTTTGTTTGGCCCAGTAACCATTTCTTTGAGTATGGCATACAGTATTTTTTATGATCCCTAAGCAAAGCAAATGGCCAATGGAGAAAAACTATGTCACCTCGACCAAAACATTAAAATCAACAACTACAGTAGTGTCAGATATAAGCTAGACATTGATAAACACTAAGACCCAATAATATGCTACCCTCAAATGTAGGAAAGAGATCTATAGCTATAAAATAAACATTAAGACCAACCAGATAATGATCTATAGTAAATATCTACTCTATAACAACTTTACTACATTAATGGTATGACAGTATTGAACCATAAGATGAAATATTTATTTATAGATTCATAAAATATAATAGTTTATTTGTAAGTATAGAGGTGTTGGGGAATTGGAGCCTGAATTAGGGAGTAAATAAATTAGTAGTGTCAGATAAAAATAAAAAACCACAAGGAAAATGATAATTTAAAAAAATGGACAGTAAAAGAGGAAAAAACAGTAAGAGATCAAATTAAAGGAGAAAAGAGAAAAAAGAGGACCATTAATTTTTAAACAGGAAAAAGAAAATAGGAGATAAAACTCATTACTGAAAAAAATTGGATCAAAAGAAAGAAAAATTCCTATGTATTTTCAGATGAATGATTTACTTCCAGGAATCCATCGAGTCAGTCATTTGCACCTCCATGTTATAGCCTGTGATTTTGTGAGGTGACTCTTTCATCTCACCAGGTTCCCTTGTCTATAAACCTCAGTCTATGGTCACTGTCCAAGCAGGAACTCATTGCCACT